TGTATAAGAGACAGGATTAAAATGGTCCACCCTGTATATTATTGGGAAACTACGTATTTTTATATGTTTTGTACAAAGCAACGTTATGGTATCTTAAACATTTATTATTTTATTGTTTTGTCAAATTATTAAATTTCTCTCATCGTATAAGTTAAAGATTTATATAAAAATATATGGAAGCATTATCATAAATATATTATTAATCTCGAAAATTATAATATATATCATTGTTCATATTCAGGTTTGAGAAAAGAAAATAATTCTATTTTTATAATTAATCACAAACGGCATGGTTAAGTGATAATAGTTTATTGCTACATTATTATCTATCATTATTTAAATAAAATTTCGTTGATGTATCACACTTTTGTTATTTAAAAAAAATTGCTTTTTAATTTTATTTATGTAATATACGTATAAATACGTATGGATACACACGCTTATAATATATTAATTGATTGTATTCTTTTGTAGATTGAGAATAATTCTACTGCGAAAGATGGGACAGAAAGTTTTGAAAAAATAATCGTATCGTTAGACGAAAGATTCACTAAAGTATTGACACGACTTCTAGATCGAATTTGTGATTTGGGTTGTGATAATAATAATGAAAAATTACTTAATGTGTTATGTCGGTAAGAATTCTATTTATATAATTTTTATTTTAATTATAACAATTTTTAAGCAAAAATTTTTACACGAAAAGAATGGTTTTGGTCAAGTACCTGAAAATTTAGTGCTAGATATAGATCTGAAAATAATTTTGCTGTGCATCCAAAATAATTTATGTATGTTCAAGCTGGTTGCTAGAATATCAAAACTTTTGCAGCAACGTCATGCTCGAGCGTCCTTTATAATTATTTTGATGGTCTAACAATATTTTCAGATCTAACTTAATTTAGATACTTCAGCAACATTATTTTATTTTGGATAAATTTGAATGATTAACAAAGATACATTACAAGCATGTCTTAATAACATACATATATTAATGAGACTTCAAATAATTTTTGATAACTAATTAAAATCAATTATGCTACCTCAATTTTTAATATAATTCTTCTCATTATTTTAGTATGCTAAATATTTATTTTTGGCATTTGACCTTTAAAGGACGGGGAATATATTTAAAAAATCTTACAGCTTTTCTTTAAAATTTGTAATTTATCGTATTCTTTATCAAAATGATAAAGTCCTATAAAGGTTAAAAAACATTATTTGTTAGATAAATTCTATTAAATGCACATAGTTTTTATAGATATTCCTTTTTATCAATATTTAAATAAAATTATATATATATAAATAATAATTCCTTTCTAAATGATACTTGTTTGAATTAGGCTTGACTTCAATATGTTTTACACCGACATACTGATACGTCGAGGAAGAGAGAAGACCGTTACACAGCAAGATATATCTGGCTAGTAATACATTCTAATTTATGCACGCACATCACAGATTTCTATACGCACATGCAGCGACATGAACATGTTGTACGTATGCATATATAAAAAATGAAAATGAATTCAACAAAATTTACTACAATTATCTTTTGTCGATATAAATTATATACAAAAAATCTCATTAAAGACTTAAAAAAGTTTCGTATATAAACCTCATAATCAACAATGATTTACTTATGGTTAAAAAAATAAATATACAAATAATAAGACGATTTTGAATGGATAATTGGAGAAACACTCGTTATATGTTATATAAATCATGCAATGATATATTCATATATTTGTATGTCATATAATAGTTAGATAAATTTCAGATCAATTACCATTGTATTGAATTTATAATAAATTTAGAATTTAAAAGAATTTATAATAATGATGTATATTTACACGCAGCTAAGTTAAATCTATGGTTATAATAAAATATAACACATGCTTGGCAGTATTGTTTAATATTGATTTATAAAATTAGATTTTATATAGTTTTATGGAATTATAAAAAGGGAGTAAGTAATTTTATAAGAATCTAAATAATAGAATAATTATACAATAATTAATCAATAGAATAAATTAAACAAAAGAATATACATATGTAAAGACTTTTTAAACGTCTTTTAGATAACCAAACCTGTAAAGACAGACTTTGAACAGAGTCTGCTATACATTTTTGATTGCAGAAAAGCACAAATTTCATACAGAATTTGTAATATTTGACAGTGTTGACAAACTATCACTAGAAATCTGACAGAATCTGCTGACATTCTATGCCAGCAGATTAGTGGCAGAAACTAAGCAGAGCTTGTTGATATAATTGGATGTATTGGTAATTTGCACAGATCTCTAATTTGTTTCAAACTTTCTTTGTGTATGTCGTCATTATTTATATACATATGTAGCAAAGTATTATTATTATAATATCGATCTAAAGTATTTTTTATTATTCAATATCAATAAACTAAATGACATAAATATAATATTCTGATATAAAACAAATATTCTTTATGATATTATCGTCACAAAAATATTTATCATTTTTACATCATAATGATAATTATTAGTATTTTTTAATTACGTAATAATTATATAATTAAATAAGTATATTAATGTACTGGATCTATCTGAATGTGTTCAACAAAAAAATATGAAATACCATTCTGCATATGTGAAAATTAGTAAAAACGTAATTTGTAATTGTCAACTGTAATTTATATTTATTTATATGAAAAAATATTTTAATTATATGCGTTTTATTTTTTTGACAATATTTGTTGAACTATGATTTCCACAGCTTCTATACTTCTATATATATTTCTATCAAGCGAAGCGGTAGCGGAGTGACACCAAGTATTTAAAATGACCTTTGAGTATATGGTATTGGCACTGTCGAGCGCTACCGCTGTAGCTTAAGCCCGTATCAGACTAAAGATTGAGATTGAGATTGTAATGGAATTTGACCAATTAAAACAAAGTTCACTAAATTTGAGATTGGTTTTCTTTCTTAATGTCGATACGAGCTTTCGATTGAGACCAGTCCGAATGAAATCGGTGCAGTCAATCCCGAAATCTCGAAATCGAGTCTATGAAAATGTCACTTTGGCGATTCCAGTCTTCTTAAGGTGCAATTTTATGAGATGCTCGTTTTAGCGTTAAAGCCATGGCACACAGAAAAACTTAAGCAGTAAGAAGTAAGCAGTAAAGAAATCAACATGTTAGATTTTTGGTAATCACATGACTTCGACTTTAACGCTAGCATAAAAAAAAGAAGCTGGATTTTCTCAGCTTCAGCGTCAAAGCCTGTTGTTGTTTTGTTCTGAACATTTTGGATACAAATGATACAATTGACGTTAAACTTGATATTGCCGCTTTTCGTGCAAGCCAACTATGATCACGTAA